CCCCCCCCCCCGCCCCCACCGGTCGCAGCGGTCTCCGTTTTTCTGGAATTGGCAAGGTGGCAACACTACTTCCTACGTATGTATACGATGTGCCTTCGAAGATTCGAAACGGAAGAACAATTCTGTTTTTGGATGATACGAATAATTTTTGCTATAGAGACACTGTAAATAGTCCAATATCATATTTTCAAATTGGTTCCGTAATAACAAATTAATAGTAAACAAAGAGAAAACAATTTCAATGCAGTTTTCCCATTTAAGATAAACCATTGTATAACCCTTTGAGCAAAAATGATTCACAATTGACTGATGTTAAGTTAACCAAATTTGTGGGCCTCTCAATTCAGTCAAACCTGAAATGGAATAAAATTAAGTTAATGCTACGCGTTCAGAACTCTTTCAAATTCAGGCAGCCTCCACACTGCTCGTTGAGTATATTTTGCGAAAGTTCATTCCCAACTGAGATACGGCATACTGTAATGGAGGAACACATCCTATAGCTCCCAGACTTTTAGATTTCATCATAGAATTGTACGAAAAGTAAGCAAATCCACCCACATGATTCTTGTAAGCCTCTTTATTTGATTAGGAGGGGTGGGAAAATCCTGTTCCTATATACATTAAATTACTTCCTTTAACACATAGTGTAGCCACAACCCATGTTTTGCGCATCTTTGATACCAAAAAATCGATTGATGGAAAAACGTAACGTCTGTTCGTGGTCAACGTTAGCCCCTAAACCGTTCAACCGATTTTCTCAAAACTGATATTCCCCGATCGATTTGAACGAAATCGAGGCTTTTCCAAGTTCATGAATGCGAAAACGTATGTGTTGTTTTAGCACCACTAGTTACTTATGTAAAGCTACAATGCACATAATAAATTGAAAATTCGCTCATCTTTTGGCAGTTCACATCAATAAAATAATACTTCAGGGCAACTATAACATGCGATTTTGTTTTGAAAACTTATCTAAGTTTAAAAATAGTAATAGGGGTTAAAAAAAAAGTTGTTTCCAAACCTTGTTCATATTATTTGTGCAACCATTATCTTTAAGTCAGTTATGTGGAATTACTTGTTTTATGATAATGTATGCTGTATTACATCATAGAAAGGGGGAAAGCAAACCATTATTTTGAAAGCGTCAATGCAAAAAAGGTTGGGAATCTCTGGTCTAGGGGTCTACCAAGTACAGACCTCTTTTGTACGTCAATCAACTTGGTCTTCAGTTTGTAATTTGCGCTTCTTCCGGCATCTTGGCATCGGTAACTTTGGTAAGGCCAACTATCAACCTATAACATTTGAAGGCTGAGTATCTACCACAACGTACAATGATTCCACAGGAGAGAAAAGAGCCCTATGGTGCCCCAGCAATAATAGTGTAAAAAGTCATAGTACCTTCTATCGTTTATCTGGCAGATGAAGTAGTGAACAATTCAGTTGTTTTTAAGAACACGTTAAGGCAGCTCGTATTTCATTAAAAAATGAAATGCAATGTATTTTAATATGAAACAAGGTAGATCTCTGTATGATTACACTTTTTATAGCATCTGAAAATAATAGTTTTACTGGCTGAGTTTAGCTCTGAGCCATATATTTTAATATGAAACAAGGTAGATCTCCGTATGATTACACTTTTTATTGCATCTGAAAATAATTGTTTTACTGGCCGAGTTTAGCTCTGAGCCAACAATTATCACTGTCTGCAGCAACTCTGACTGGGAGGTGTTCGAGTTTGAGTGCTGTCAGTAGTGGATTTTGTAGCTAGGTTGAATTCAATTTCTATCTACAAGAGGATTCTAGTAGCCGACTGCTCTGGTTGGTAGTTTTACATAGTTTTTCCGATCAATACCAGCCAAATGCTTGTAGCAGTACCTCAACAAATGGGACATGGACTGTGTGCGATCTTTCCTTCCTCTTACTTGTCCTATCTTCTCCTCTTCCTTACACCTATTAACATTTACATGCACTACACTACTACATATGGGGGCTAGTTGGGAAGTTAGAGCTCGTCCCAGCTGGGGAAAATCCCCTACAAGTCGATGTGTAGATTGATGCTGATTCTCACCATCCAGTGGGGGAAGAAAACCACCACTTTCTTGCACAAAAAAAATTTCTGCACAAATGCGACTAAAAACTATTGCACTTGATAAGCCCAGAAATATCAATCAATCATCTCTTTCTAGTTACAAATTTTCTGGGAAATAATGTTGTGGTATGAAGAAAATTCTTCACAAAAAATAATTGGTCATAAGTTTTTATTGACCCCATAAGTGAAGAACCTACAGGAGTGTTGGTGTCTAGGGTAAGTTACAATGTGTATGTGTGTGTGTGTGTGTGTGTGTGCGTGTGTGTGTGTGTGTGTGTGTGGGGGGGGGAGATCATGAGTAGGAATGAAAGTTTGTGAATAATATTTTTTTTTCTTATGATTTTTATTAAAACACACATTGTGTTTACACATATTTATATCATAACAAGAAAATGACAAAAAGTATATAGAACAATTCAAGGTCACTTCATTTTCAATTAAAACTAGTTCATGTTTTTCTTTCTTTCCCCCCTTTGTTTTCACTAAGAACTGTAAATAGAGAGAAATAAAAACTAGTTTGCTTACAAAATTTATCTCAGAGTTTGTGCATAAAAACTTGCATCTGGTCAAGTATCTGGCCAAGGAATTACTGTATCTGGTCAAGGTTGTAGAACTCAATATGAAAATGTACCAACTTAATTTTTTTTTTTTTTTGGTTATGCTAATTATAAGTTCAAAGAGAACTTATTCCTTAAAAGATTACAAATATAAAATGTCTGAGCCCAATTTTAAATTAAATTTTGTGCTATAACCATACAATCAACAGCAGTGTTTAAGTAAATTTTCTTTTTATACTTCCTAAAGATACAAAAATTCCAATATAAAATCATTTTCAAAACGTTTTGAAATTCTAGAGAATTTTCACATATACTGCTCTGAAATTTCAATTATTAATTTTCAATGTGGAACAAATTACAAAACTATACAGGTGGTGAAAAAGTGTATCTAAAGACACAGGTCAAAAAAATTCCTTTCTTTCTACCGCATATTTCACCATTAATGACTATGAACATGTATATCTCTGCAACTTTTGATATCTAATTGTGATCTTAAAAAAATATTATCTTCTATAAGAGCATTCTTACATGATATAAATCAATGACTAGAATAACTGACAAGACTGGAGTTTCTGTACTGTGATAATCTGACTAGTGATAATATTTGCAAGAAAATTGTTAGTAATCTTGACAGCAGGTCAATATTGTATGGCGTATATTTGCTCAGTCATTACGAGGTAGTTTCTTATACTCAGCTACTTGTGATGCTATCTGGTGAAGAATCTGTTTAGCATCTGGATCAGTTGAACCCGGAACTATTACATTTAAGATACGGCCACATTCTCTAACAAAAAACTCCAAGTCTGCACTATCAGTTTCAACTTCATCAGTCTCCGTTAGTCCAACCACACATTTATTGGCCAATTGAGCAAGACGAGAACGTTCAGAACTGAAGGCATCGTCAAGGTCAAACAGCTCCAAAGGGGGAGGTTGTAGTTCTTGAAATGAGGGTGGAAACACCTACAACATAATAAATACAGCTTTTGCATGTTTCTTTGATTATAGATACAAATACAGAAACAAAATTGTATGTATGAATGTATGAACACACAGGTTGCCAAATATTTAATCGTAAGTGAACTACATTATTGACTATAAAATTGTTAATATTATGGATCTCTGTAAATGAAGGAGCATTGACATTTAATTTCATACTAATGGCTAGTGGACACAAATTTTTTGTCCACCCTGCATAATTTAGTTCAATATGACTTTACAGAAAGCTAAAATTTCAAACAATTTAAATATATACATTTCTTAGTTTTGTTTTTCAAACATATTACAATTTATCAATGCATGGTGATAATAAGCAAATGAGCTTCCCTAAGACAGCAAAACTAAATTAATGAAGCAAGCAACATTTTAATGAGTATTTAAACAGTTAACATCATTTAATTATGTTGACGTTTTTCTTATCCGAGCACACTAATGTAAATAAAATTGTGAGAAGTCACATGACATAATTTCAATGACACAATCACTATGTTGTTGATGGGTTCTCGTTCAAAAGATTAAATAAAATTTTGCAAGAAATAGAGAAATAATTCTCCTATTAATGTATATTATATTTTTGCAGAGTGATGGTGCTTATATACTTTTTGATATTTCAGTTTACACTTTTGTTAGATAATGTCAATATGTTGTCTTTATTATGGACATCTTAGACCATAAACAATTTCTATTAAGAGATTAACTGAAAAAAATGACTTTCAAATGAGAACTTTCAATAAAGCAGGAACATTGCGGAACTCGATGTCCTTTATTTGTATTAACAGCTTCATAACAACTTGAACAGAACCTGAATTTGCAATGCTGGTCCTGTATATGGGATTTAGGTAAAGATGTGACTTTGTTGCACACAATTTATCAACAGACATTGACAACTATTTTACACAATTCACATTACTAAACATCGATTTGGATATATTAACTCCGGTTCTTCAGGCTACTTAACAATTTCATCCAGAATCATCCCGAGGTACTTACACGAAAGAAAAGAAAACAGCAATGAAACAATATTTTTATATGATGTAAATCCGCCAATATGAATTCTCCTTTGTAGATATTGTTTCTCTAAAGAATAAACTACACAAATGCCATGCAACATTTTGAATGTGTGAATTTCTCTATTTGCCAGTTTACATAATATTAAGGTTGTACGCATAATAACATGTTTGTTTAAAACCGTGTAAACTACAGATAGCCAATGCTCTACCAACTTTTCAAGATTTGATCGTTAATGTTGATTGTTATTGAGTTTGCTTGGCAATTTATAGTCTTTCATCTCCAAGGAAAATAATAATAAACATGATTTTGAAAACGGCAAAAGCTACTTCAGAAAACATTGCAATGTATCTCAGAATCCTGAACATAAGTACAGTGCTCATATTTAAGTGAACTGTGTACTTAAGTCAACAAGTCAGAAAAAGATAACGAGAGCATTTTAACTAGAACTATGTAAAGTTATAAATACAAAAGAAATATTATTTCCAGTTAAGTTCCTATATTCTCTCCGAACAATATACAATAATTTATATTATGGTGTTATGGTACTTAAAACACAAACATTCATTATTTATTGGAAGCAAACAAAATCACAATACCTCGCCATGTGTAACAATTAAAAACAAAGCCTTCCGCAACATATAAGGGCCCCTAATATTTCTTCCATGATTATTGATAATATTATGGTTTCATCAATTTTTGTTTTTGAAGTCGAGTAAATAAAAACGGAGTTGAGAAAAATCTACAACATATGCACAATGTTTTGTAATGGGATACAAAACCCTGAGAAGAGTAAAAACTATTCACCTCTGGAGAACTAAAGAAAGTTCTTGTGTTATATAAATTCATTTCTAGGTTCCCCCAGAAAGGAAGAAAAATACTATCAAGTATCAATTTATTGAGAGAGGCCTGGGTGAATCATCCTCGGAATATTAAACACAAAAAGCTAAATATCCGTTACCGAAAATTTCGTAATGTACATACAGTTTACAACATTCAAAATTATTATTCATCTCAGCATTACACACTTACATGTGCTTTGCCTGATTGGGCATCAGCAGCTTCCTCACATAAACAAACTTCAAATCATTCAAAATAAATTAATATGAAGAGCAACTGAAGTGATGTTCCAATAAATAAATTCATCAGAAATAAGCTACAACTGAAATTTAAAAAAACAATTTTACAACAACTACAAATATTTTACAACATGCGTTACTCTTGGCAAATTTCCCTACATTGATTTGAGTCATACAGCCCCAAATGAATTAAAATATAATCTCATTTTACAGAGGACAAACTATGAGAATTAAAAAAAATATATATATATAAAATAAAGACATCAACCAGTAAATATAAACATTCTACATAGAGTTCATACAGTTGACGTACTTTTTTCACACTTCCTTATATTTTACAAAGTATAAGTTTATTAAAATAACAAAGCAGATGATGATGAATGCCAATCTGGCATAATGCTATTTATATAAAAAAATATTTGAAATTATCTCAAACATGTTGGTTACAAAAAAATAACAAAGATATTTAAAATAATTGGAACAAAAAAGGGATGATAAAATTCCTCAAACTGAAAAATTAGGAAGTTAGTACAAGGATGATGATATAGGACAAAATAATGTAAAACATTCTATTTACATCATTGCTGTTTACTAAATTTTTACTTACAGCAGCTTGCAGAAGAGGTAAAGGTGTTTCAAACTGCGGTGTTATGAGTCGTAATGGTTCATGTTTAACTTGCAGCATAGGATAAGCATCCATTGCATCTGGGACAAGGCTTGTATGAATTGCATACAACTTATTACTAAAGAGTTTGATATAATCAGTTGGGATTTCATCAGTAGGTTCTTGCAGACACACACGAGGACGTTCTGCAAGCATTGAAGTATCTGGTACCATCAGATAATCAGCAATCTGGAGAGATAGAGAGAAATGATCACATTTATTACATTTCATAACTACATTGAAAGTGTACTCAAATAAAGATGTTCCATGAATTAGTATTATCATAACTTTACCTCAGGGTCATCTGCATCTACTGGGTTTAGTTCAACTTCTGGAGTTGTCAGGAATTTGAAAATAATTTCCCTAATTTTGTCATTATCTTCTTTATCAACATACTGATCAGAAAGAAAGTGAACTGAGCCTATAACAGCAAGTTTTCCACCCGGCATTTTATTTGTAAATCCACTGGTACTGTATACAGCAGCAACAGGTCTATTAACTGGAAAGGCAACACTGCCACTTGAGAGCAATGTTATTGCTGGTCGAGCAACATTCAATGTAGCTCCAAATGGAAACACAAAACTTAGAGATCTACAACAGATAAAGAATCACATATAAAAGAAAATCAAAATAAATACAAGACGAGACAGTCACATTTAAGTATTTATATTACTTGATTTTATGGTCGCTGTATTGAGGCAATATTTGTGAAACTGCGTGCAGTACACCTCGGTTAACAACACCATCCACAACCAAGCATTCTTTAGGATTAAAATACTTATAATATGTGGTTCGCACAACAACATCTAAAAATAAAAGTTGCTTTACATTAATAGTCATTATCCAGGAACCATGAAACAGTACACACATAATTAATTTGTGGCAATTACTTACCATTATTTACCATAATCCCATATTCTTCCAAAAGAAAATTTATATTGGTATGATAATTCTTTTCACCACCTTCACCAAGCAACACTAAAATACTGCCACCTGTTTCAATGAATTTTTTCAGGCAATTGAATTCACTTTCAGTAAACTTTTCCCTTGGCCCAGGCAATATAAACAGTGCAACATCTTCAAGAATTTCAGGAGATATCTCTTCTTTATTCCTGTAATACAATATTACTCGTAAGAAAATCGAAAGTGCAGTGATACTTCTTTAAACTAAGAAAGTAACAATATTAATGCTTACAATATAATTTTCCAACTGCCTTTCAGTTTACGGACCAAAGTCTTGAAATTTTCATTTAATGTCATCGCCTCATTTTTCGAGCTGTTAAATACTATTGTCTTGCCGCCTTTATCTTTCGGGTCGTTCATCATACCCTAACCATATCACACATAAATATTAAATAATTGACACGTAACATACTAGTCTATACAAAATATTGTTGGAATACACATTCGAAATTTTGTGCGATTAATTTTATTTACATCTTATTCAATATGTTGTCAGTAAAGTATCAGCATACCACTGTTAAGGTCATCTTTCCAGATTTCTTCGCTTTTGTTTACATTGAAGTGAACATCGCAGAACCCGCGCACATTCCTGAAGAAACATTCAGAAACACTACTGTGATGTGTGCTGCAATACAATCGATGACTCGGCGCCGACCTGTTCCTATGGCTTTGCGCACTCCACAATTATTACACTTTTTACATTTACTCACACGAAATGTAAAGAATGAACTTCGTACTGTACTGAATACCATGGCATGTGTCGAAGTTGCAGTTTTGAAGAAAATGAATATCACAAAAAAACACTTTTCATAATATCTCCCTTCAACACAAAATTTTAAGAATTAGAAAACACAAATTATTTCAGTTTCATTCATTTGGACTGATTTATTGATCAGACAGGCGGACACTTCGATTTATTCTGATTCCACGCCTCTTGACGTAATTCTAACGTGGCTAAATTTAAGGTTATGCAAATTGTTTTGGCAGAACCATTGATCTAGAATCATCGTTGAATATCGAATATATCTGTAAAAAGGAAAAAGTGAACCATCAAAATAAAACTTAAACAATAGCGGGTTCTTTCCCATATCGTACCGAATGTATAAAAATCGGCTCACTTCCGCGAGAACATGGGTTTGCGAGCGAAATGGCGTCTTATTTATAACCTCAAACTTTTTTAAATTTGTTGCGTCTTCACCCACGTTTCTAAGCCCTCTTTTGTCACAGAGCGCCTGGAGTAATCCTCCTCGAAGTTAAAACCTTTTTGTCTCGTCACATCGCAGTTTGTCAGTGCCTTTCATTCCTTGGCCAGGGTCTCAGCGCCGTTAGTAATAGAGGTCCCAGCAGGGTCCCAGACGGTCACCCGCGTACGACTCTGTGGTGCCTTGAAATCGTTAACTTCCTGGAATTCACGGAGCGTTGGTAAACAATTCAGCTCACAACGCTGGCTTTGTGAACTGGAAATAAAACAAACAAAATAATTGTCATTAATATTTTTATTTTATTTATAGCTTGTAAGGCGCAGTGATTCTTGTCCAATTTCAGGCGCTACGCCTGTCTAATTTTATGATTAGGCTCCGTCCATCGGCCTACACGATTACAAAGCATTCTTAACAACGTATAATTTAACTTCAAAGCTTTAGTATACTACGTCGACATTATTTTTTAATTATGTTGCCTTGGACTCTACTTCCTTGTTCCTGGCCTTCCCGTCAGTGGGAAATCCCTTGGAGCTTTTTTTAACAATAGGCATAATATCCATGCAGGTTCCAGAATGTCCTTTTCCCTGTTGGAGAACGGCAATCGACTACCAGCTTCAGCGTTTTGGTGGTATTTCCCGAGCCTGAATTCCAAATTTTAACCATATCTCCGAGGAACCAACGAAGCATTCTCAGTGACAATGTGTCGGATGTCAGTTTCCCTTTCCCCAAAAATTCCGAGTAACAGGGTATGGTGTGTGACGTGTCGTACTGCAACCCCAGATATACCGGTATCTATGAAATGGCTTCACTTCAAACATTGAAAAAGCTTTTTTTTCCCAATTAAGCAAAGTTCTTTTCCGTAGCCCTCAGTGCTCTGAATCCAAAAGCTCTCGGGTCTTCTGATCCACCCGAAAGCAAGTGTTTTAGAACCGCTCATATCCTAAGGAAACTGAGGCATCGACTTACGTGCAAAGAGCAGCGACCTCTCTGGATTATAATGTGTCACAATCTGGTAAACGTAATTAACTTTCTTGCCTCTTAAAAACTTTTTGCGTGTTGTGTGCCCTATTCTCAACCTACATCCGAATGTAATAACTGCTTTAAGGGTTTTAGCAACTCTTGTTAGAAATTAATCTTTCGTAAATTGATAAAGCTCAAAAATTACTCCCGCCGACTTTTATCTTTTGGCGATGCTATCTGGCGAATAGCCCTAACTTATCTTCGGGAAAGTGAACTCCCTCTTGGTGCAACCAAAATCTCAAATATGTTACTGAGCCTTTTGCAAATTCACATTTCCCGAGTTTTACCCAGGGGACATTCCTCTAAAAGTAAGAAAACTCCCATCACTTTCTGCCAGTGATCCTCTTACGTACTGCCGAATATTAATAATCTTTAATTATTAATCGTGATACCACAGCTTCTGGAATATCCTTCAGAAAGTTCTCCATCAACAGTTGAAACAATGCCGGAGCCGATGAGATTCCAAATAGCACTATTGCCATGTAGGATTGGAACATTTTACTTGATGGAGAACATTTTACTCGGAAAAGCCCATCGTTGGGTACATGGCGAGGACAATTGAAGATTCACTTATCTACCAGACCATCAATAAGTTTCTATTGACAAGTTTCTTTGTTAGAATTTTTTAGTCAGTCATTTTTTAAATCATTGAAAACAGAGACACGTTAACTAGAGAACATAATTTAGATTAAACAAATCTATTAAAATATTGATTAATTTTGAAAGTTTTTCATCTCTACGTTTCGACTTCTTTTCTTCAGAATTTACTCTGAGAATATTTTTTATTTTTATTTTTAAAATACATTTCTTACTCTATTTAAGAGTTAGACAAAGAGTTCCTAACATTTTTGCTGGAAGCCTTATCTGCATTCCGTGGTGTCAGAGACCAAACTCTGACGGCACGAATAAAAAAATTGGTAGTTTTGAAAGGAAATGATACATTTAAACGTGTGGAATTTGACTCTGGAGTCTTGATGCGATGGAGAGGCATGCGTGATCTGGGGAAAGGGAGCAGCCGAGAAGAAAGATATATCATGCATGCATTAGTACGAATCTCGCATCATAGACTGATGATTGAAACAGTGTGTTATTATTTTGCTTATGAAAGAAAGATAAAAGCCAATCTTTTCACATATATTTTCGATGTTTAGATTTAGATTCATTTAGTCAAAAAACAGTAAAAACTGTGTTCCCGTGAAACTACATCTTTTCTTCGCTAACTTGATATGGGATTAAACCTTGACAGAAATTTGAATCATGAGACCGCCAGTATTTTTTATTATACTTTTATGTCCATTTTACATGAAATTTTGGGATTACTGCACAAAAACGTACCTTTTGGATAATGCTGCATGAAAATTCAACATTTTGGGGTTTTATTAGACACTTTTAGAAGAGAACAATTCTTATGAAATCTGGCAGGGCAGAGTTCGGTGACATGTGGATTTTGTAGTACTATGAACTGTATGAGAATGTACTTTCAGAAAGAGTAGGAAGAAGATGACTCCAATTGTACGGAGGACTTATAAACACTACTTTGGTTGTGAAATAGGCGATCAGGAGGAAACATGAGCTCCTCAGTTTTGTTTTCCTACTTAAATTAATTAACCCAAGCAACATCTTGAAGATTGCTATTTCTGTATAACAGATATGCAGTTCTTCACTAACAGCAAATCACAAGTCCATTGAATATCGAAATTTGACGTAAGCAACGAGACGAGTTCCTGATTCTAAGACACTCCCTATGCCGTTACCACCATATCAAAATGTATGAGATGAGAGAGACAAAACCGTTACACTGTGAGGGTAGTGATTCGTCATCCCCAGAAAGAAAAAAATCATTTCTATCACATAGAAGATTCAACTCCACAGCTTGTAACACACGCAAAACTAAATGACATAGTTTGTGATCTGGGCTTAAGCAAAAGAAAATCAGAGCTATTGAGTTCCAGACTTCGGGAATGGAACCGTCTTCATTTTGCTTCAATTGTTACTGTATATAGAAATAGAGGACGAAAGTTTTTGAAATATTCTTCATATTATGGCAAATTAACTTTGTGCTATGATATGTGTGATTTGATGGAAGTATTGAGATTCCGTTATGATCCAAAGCAGTGGAAGTTAATTATAGATGGATCAAAACTAGTCTTAAAGGTGTTCTGTTGCACAATAGAAATACAATGCCTTCTGTTTCAGTCGCCTAACCCTCTAGGACAAAGGAGACTTACGATGTTTTGGAGCACATGCTTACAGCAATTCAGTACGGTTATCAGAAGTGGGGATTTAAAGATCGTTGCCTTAATATTGGAAATCTAGCAATGTTATACCAAATATCATTGTTTCTTTTGTGAATGAGGTAGTCGGGAAAGACAGTTCCAGTTTATAAATTTTTCCGTTTTATTATAGGCACGATGTTTGTTTCCGAAACTTCTTCCCATGAAATTCTGAAAATAATCAGTAGACTAAAAAATAAATATTCGGCCGGTTTAGATGAATATCCCGATTGTTTGTTAAAGGCTTGCGCGCTTGCCATTATGTATCCGTTAATTCACATATTTCATGTGTCCTTCACATGTATCCTTATGCACAGGAGATATCTTTAAAACAGCTAAAAGATTAATCCGCTTTTCAAAAAAGGCAACAAAAATGAAAGTCATAATTATCGATCAACTTCTCTTTTGTTGTTTTTTTTTTTTTTTTTTAAAAAAAAATAGAGACACCTTTTTACGTACGAATGGAAACATTTCTTAGTAAACACAGCGCGTTTTCAGATTGCCAACATGGGTTTCGAAAATCAAAATCTATGGAAACAGCTACATTTTCTTTTCTCAAAGATGTCGCCTCATCCATGGTTCAAAACGAAGTACTATTGGAATATTTTTAGATCTTTCAAAAGCCTTTGAAGTCATTGATCATAACATTTTTTCCTCAAAATTACCTTCGTATGGAATTCGTGGTGTTGGTCTAGATTGGTTATGTCCGTATCTTAAACAACAATCTCAGAGAGTAGAAATACCTAACTGGAATAATGGAACATTATGTACACACCTTTCTGATTCTTTGCCAATTTCATGTGGAGTCCCGCAGGGATAGATTTTAGGCCCTATTCTCTTCCTACTGTACGTAAATGATATGCCCTAGACG